GATAATTTGGGTGAGTTTGCAGAGAGGCCATGGATGAGAGAGAGAGAGAGAGAGAGAGAGTAAAGAGAGTAGAGTGGCAGATTGTGTAAATAAAGGGGGAAGATAACGGACTTTTATGAATGACGGTTTGGGTCAACAATTTTTAATAATCAAATTAATACGTATGTATACTAAAAAATAATATGTATTAAAATAAATAAGTGTATGAGAATAAAATTTGCCATTATAAATACTTTGGGGATGCCCAACAAGCTTTCTTCAAAAGAGGGCTGATTTGTAAAGAACATTGGAAGCATCTTTGGAAGGTGACTTTGGTCCTGTACACATACACCAATTCCTATGCATGTAAAGAACAAAAATAAAAATATTTTGAAAAACTAAATAGGGAAAATAAAATAATAATAATTGTAATAATATAGAATGAAAGGGCTTGCAACTAAAGCAAAGCATGAGGTAACTCCACTCAATTGTAGAGGCGTGGATAACAACACTCCTATCTCTTTCCATACATGAGGCTGCTTTATTTGCTATGGTTTATTGGAAGGGTCTTGGCTCTCAACTTATCGTCTTAATTTGAGAGAGCGTTTAGATTTAATAGATTTATTTTGAGATTAATTTTAGTGATTTGTATCTTTTATTTTTTAAGATTTATTGAGTAAAATTTTCATATAAAAAATTAAGATGGTTAAATATCGGTAGCTATAACTTATATATTTGAATCATATTTGTCTTCTTTTTTATATATAAAAAAAATAGATGAGAAATATAATTTTAAGAATAGATATCTGTTTTTTTTTTTTAATATAAATTTGATTCAAATATATAGCTACTGTTGTCTGATCATCTTGATTTTTTTCATAAATATTTTAATCAATAAGTTCCAAAAAGTGAAAGGTTCTAACCACCCAAATCGGTTTCAAAATGGACTTACTAAGCCCAAATACTCTCATAAGTTGAGATGACCAATTTAAGAGAAGTCAAACCCTTAATGGAATTATTTAGAGTAAATTATTGAAAAGTCCAAGCTAAAGAGAGATATAAGACATTAAATCCAATTGATATTTTTAGGTGGTGAGAAGTCATTTTATTGTTTTGAAATGACATTTTATTTTTAATTTTTCTCATTAATTTATCTGTTGACTTTTTTGACTATTTGTTCATATTATTTTCTATCTGTTCAAATTTATATCTATTTGTTCAATTTTTTTAAACCTATTTGTTGAATTTATTTTTTTTTTATCTATTGGACTTTTATAATCTATTTTTTCTATCTGTTCAAATTCACACAATTTTTAAACTTTCTTTCTCTATTTGTTTCTCTCTATCTCTCTTTTCTCTCTTTCTTTCTCTCTCTCTCTCTCTCTACATATATATATTTTTTTTCAATTTTTTTTCTATCTGTTGAAATTTTTATTTGTTCATATTGATATGAAATTTTATCTGTCTAAATTTTTTCTGCAAATTAAATCTATCTATTCAAATTTCTTTACTTTTTTCCATCTGTTCAAATCTCTCTCAACTTGTCCATTCTGTCTCATCGCATTTCAAGACACTCAGCATCAGAATAATCATACAAGATCTGCTACCCACACACACACACAAATATTCATTCTTAAACACATCCACGCACAGAGATAGATGAAATATTCATTCTCAAATACCCACACCCACACTCATATCCCCCAACACACATATGATCCATTATCTTTACAAAAATAAGCTACCGATTTTTTTTAAAAAAAAAAATAGATGAAAAAAAAAACAGCAGATCTGGTAGTCCGGTTCCAAATCCGAGAGAAATGGTGGTCTGATAGAGAGAGAGAGAGACAATTTTCTTCAAACTTTAATGGCTTAGAGAGAGTTCGATCGATGCATCTACGATCTTGAAGCTTTGGGTTTGATCTACACAAATCTACAAAACAAACATAGATTTATACATATATATACAAACACATATTTACAAAACACAAATCTATACATATATATACAAACAATTTCCAGTAAGGCACTCCAGAAATAGAGTTCAATCTCACTCAAGAACTCAACCGCAAGAGAAATGTACCATGGATTTGTTCAGTCATCGTCGTCGTTTCGACGGCTGTTGTAACAACCTATACGTTTTTTTTCTTTTTCGCTTGAGTAACAAGTTGTTTGCTTGAGTGGTCTTATGGGTCATCTGGTACTTTTGATTGTAGGCCTAAGATTTTGAGAGTTAGCATTGTTCGTTCGAGCATAGACGTATTCGCTTGAGCCGTCTATTCTTTGGTGGTATGAACTTCTGAGAGTGTGAGTTTTACGCTTGAGTACAAGTTTCATCGCTCGAGCGGCCTGTTCGGGGTTAGCACTTTAGAAAGCCACTTTTTGGTCAAATCTAGATCATTTCTCTCTCTCTCTCTCTCTCCCCCTCTATCTCTCTTTCCTCCATGTCTGAAAATCCAAAGCTTTTAAGTTTGGATTTCATCTCCTTCCATTCAAAATCTCACCTTAGTTCTATATACCAAAACGTAGAGCACAAAGAGATATTTCTAGCAATCTCAGCGGATTGTAATTTAGTCAGATTTTCGAGCTTTTTTTTGCTTGAGGGAGGGATTTCATTGCTTTTCTTCAATATTTCATCTATAGATAGATCTGTGATAGATTTTATTACATAAAAATCTTATTTATTATAGTTTTTTTTTTTGAAAGTCATGAAGGTGATCGAGGGCTTGATACTTGGGGGTTGAAATCATTAATTGGTAGTTTTTTTAGTTAATTTGGGAGTAATTAAACATGTTTATGTCAAGAAAGGGAAAAATCACTAATGTTAAAAGCTTGATTTTTGGCTTTTCTTGAAAAAATGTGTAAAAAAGTAGAGAGATGATATGATCTAAAAGAGGTTAAAAGCCAAAAAATTGATTTAAACCTCTTTGCCAAAAGTGGTCGTAATTAGCTCGATAGGAAAAATGGGTAAAGTTGATTAATAGTTATGTTATGTATTGTGTGGATTGTATTAATGTAGTAATTGCTAAAAAGGAAATTAGCCGAGATATATTGAGATTGTTTTGAGAAATATACTTTGAGTTGAGTTGGGTTGTGCTTTTGTTTAACTATGGATTTGGGATTTATGAAGGAAGAAAAATGAATTATTGGAACATGGTTGGAGTATTGTGAATTGGAAAATAAGGAAATTGATTTTGGAAACAAAATTTAATTTTAACTATTTTGTAAATTGTGAATAAATGAGATATTGGACTTTTGAATATTTGATATATGTTATTGTTGCTGTTGGGCTTCTATTCCATGAGATTTGGACAGTTGTAGTTATGTGTAATAAATACATGTGCTTAGAGATTTTTTCCTTGGTCATCAATGGAGGATGACATTTATATGTTGAATAGATTATGCGTATGTATTACACTTGTGTTATTATGCTTTTAGTATGTCAAGATGGTTGGTAATGTATATTGCGCTGAGAATGAGATGTACTATTACCTTCCAGTTAGCTTTCGAAGAATTGGCTACGCTTAGAATGAGAGGTACCGGTACCTTCTAGCTAGCACCTGGAGAACTTGGTAGAGGTATCATTCCCTTCCAGCTTGTGTCTGATAAATTGGCAGAGGTACCATTACCTTCCAGCTTGGGTTTGGTAAATGGGTATTTTGTTGTGGAAAGCTGTATCCTTGGCCAACCGTGCTTGAGGCATGTAGAGCATGAGTTGAGGGTTTCAGTGTTAAATCGATTTATCTGTGTATATCATATGTGTAGCAGTTTGGTTAATGAGGTCGGGTTGTCTCATGTGATATTATTGTTGTCTTGGCATATGTGTTATTTTCTTTTCGTGTTAAAGGTATTGTATGTAGGTTTATGTGTCGAATAGGTTGTAGAAAATGTTTCATTACCCTTAAATTAGGGCTTTGAAATGTCATTCATATATTACAATGGGTATATGTGATGAGTTTGGATTGTAAAGAATGAAAGGCTATTTGATTTGTGAACACGTTATCGAAAGTGCATTGTTAATATATGTTCTTTTTGAAATGGATAATGTAAATGAAGGAAAAGAGAACGTTATGTATTATTGAGCAAATTGGACGAATTTTTGGAAAAGTATATATATATATATAAGTGTATCTTGATTATAAATTGCCACATTATTTATATTGTAAGATATGAAGCATTCATGATCTTAGCTATCTGTATGTTATTATTGTTTAGGATCATGTTGGGATCCATATTGAGCTTTATGCTTTTCGCATATTGTTAATTTTTTTTTTCAGGTACAAGTTGTTAAGTGTTTCAAGATCAAGGATCTTCTTTATGTGTTGGCCACAAGGCCTTTTACTTGTTGGTGGAACGTTGTTGTTGAAAAATGATTGAACCCCTTCTCTTATTGTAATGATGTAAGCCTATAAGCGACTTATTTTAATTGTAATTCATGTAGCATTCATTGTGTATCCGAATAAGAGATTCTTTATTCATTTACCATTGTTAATGTACATAATTTCTGCATGTTGTCTCTGGAATTGAATTATAATAAAGGATTTTCGTAATGGTATCCGAGTAATTAAAAGTGGAGCGTTACAAATTGGTATCAAGTGAACCGGGTTTAAATACCGTGGGCTCGCCGAAAGTGGTGTTTACTATGATGGGTTCATTATGTTTTGGTGAGGACGTCTGCATATAGTTAGTATGAGTGTTAAGATTTATGTTTTGCATTTATGAGAGCATGGGTTTAAGTTTCCTAGACAGTACTCGTAGCGGTAAACTTACTCTGAGGTCTTATTGGAAACACGCCTGACCAACGTGGTTTCTGATAGGAATTCCTTGAGAGTTCCAGGATAAGTGACTATCTTTTTGGACTTGACTCGATTATGTGTTAAAGTGTTAAATTGTTTATATGTAATAGATATTGTGTGTTTTGGGGACTAAGTGCGTCTTGCAACTTAGCGGTGGTGAGTGTGTACCTCGGGAAAGGCCGTTGTGTTGTGCACTAAGTTTGGTTTTGTTTTTGGTTTTATAAGATGTCTACACGAGGGAATAAAGGACAGATTAGGAATAAGGGCGCCGGTAGAGACATAACAGTTCATTTAGCACCTACCGTTGTAGCATCCTCTGTTGGTAAAGAAGTTGCACACGAGATTGTGAAAGCGGTGCAAGATGCTCTAGCTCGTAATGAGGGTATCAACAGGCGTACCCTTAAGCTTTCTAAAGAGTTTCTTCGCTCCAATCTACCAGAGTTTTTGGGGAAGGCTAAACCACTAGAGGCGGATGATTGGTTTGAACATGTAACGCTCCAAAATAATAACAATAGCCCAGCACATGACATTCCTTACAATTGTACAATAACATCATATTTTATATTCAATTTATGAACTTGATGATACAAAAAATGACATATACAGTATACATTCATAAATCCTAGATCCGGAATCTATAACATATGACATGGATACACGAATTAAAAGAAAAGTAAAATACAAGTAAGTATATGTCCTAATGGCTACATCTTTAGAAGGCAATGCTTGGTTACATCGAAATGATTTCAACTCAATACAATTAAAGCCCAAGGCTTATACAAAAATAATTACATCCAATAACAAAAAAGAAGCCCTTGGCTTCAAGTCCTCCCAAGCTATGCCCTTGGTGGAGGCATATCATCAACACCAGAAAGTTGTTTTCTACATAGGGTGAGCCAAAGCCTAATAGAGATACTTTAATGCAATATATGAATCTTAACATAGTCATAAGGTGAATGCACATGCATGTCTTTTGTCAAACATGTTCACATTTTCCATCTCAAAACCATGCAATGCCAGATTATATATCAATTCGTGAAAATAATCCTTTTATAACATAAAACAAGATAGAACATACAAAACACTAGGAATCTCTAAGTACATGTCTGCTAGTAGGCTATACAAGCACTACCAAAGTCATTTTACCGGTACTAACCTGAAGGATCGGCACTTAATCGCGCAATTTTCTAGACTTTCACCAAGGACACACAGGTCAATATAACAACCACAACCACACCCTCTAACCAGATTCACCAAGGTATTCAAAACAAAACATTTTCAATGTTTAAGAATGCAACAATGTTCAATACAAGATGAATAAATTGTTAGTTTCAATTCACCTAATTCTTATGCAATTTCTACAACATTCACAACTATCCTCCACTGATAGTCCAAAATAGATATTTCTATACAATAGATAATTTTTCAATAACAAATATAATCTCTTCATTTTCAAAATGGAAGTGATATTATATATCCAACTCCACCATCATCATCAACATATACATTGTTCCATTCTTACTAAACCCAACATCATTTTCCATTTTCTTTCACAAAACAAATATCCATAATTTTAGAACAAAAGCCCCCTTTACTTACAAAATCAAATTTTAGTAAAGAAATCCATCATTTTAACATATTTCAATCATAAACACATTCCCATAACCTTTCTCAAGAACCCATTTGAAAACCTCCATTTTTTTAATTCAAAACCAAACCCTAGGTTTAACCCCAAAATCCCTAAATCACTAGACTTTTTTAATAGACAAATAACTAAGCTAAAAATTATACCAAAGGTTGAAGAAATCCCTACCTCAAAATAGAAGACCAGGGATAACAAGAGTTAAAGTTTGGCAGAGCCGAAAATGATAACTCCTCTGATTAAAATAAAGCCCTCAACATGCTCTATCTTTTTTTTTTCCAAAGGGCTAGGGTTAGGAAATCAATAGATTGGGAGTGTTTGGAGCTTGAATGCATGAACTAGAGACATAGAGAGAGTGATGATCTAGGGTTTTTTTAAATGTTTAGAGAGAGAGATGAAAAAGTGACTCAAAATACCCTTTTCTCGAACTGATATTTGCACAGACTGCTCGAGAGACCAAAACATCACTTGAGCATCAAATTCAATAAGTGACACCGTTCGAGGGCACAATGACCCCCTCTTAGAAGTTCAGACCTGCAAACAATCGCTCGAGCACAAGAAAGATTACTTGAGCGAATAGACAAAAATCTAGACAACAACTCTTTTAGAAAACTAACTCCAAACCTGTTTCAAACACAACCATAACTCCCAAATAGCCAAACTCAACTAGTAACAAGATGAAAATGAAATGAACAATAGTTAAGGACATGGATTCTCAGATTCAAAAGTAAGAAATTAGTCGGGTCTAAACCCGAGTTGTTATAGAACAGATTACCAAGACTCTTGATATACTTAGAGTCGAAGATGAGGGGTTGAGGATTTCTTTGGCAAGTTTCCAATTAAAGGGGGACGCTGGGTATTGATGGAAGTATGCTAAGAACGTTGTAAGTAACACATGGGTAACTTTCATGGAGGCCTTTTTAGCCAAGTACTTCCATCTTTTCGCTCAAGAAAGGTTGAGGGAACAATTTGTCGAGTTAGACTAGGATGCTACTCCTTTGGCACAGTTTGATATGCAATTTACTAGTTTGTTGAGATTCGCTCCAAAACTGGTGGCAATAGAGGAGCGTGATGATATCCGGGAAAAGGTAGCTAGATCTATGTGGAAGAATTACTATGCTTTAGTCAAGGTGGCGCTCATGTGGAGGCCATGGCTGTGCGTGTTGGTCAAGTTAGAGAGGAGACCATTTCGGCAAATCCTACTGTTCATAAGCACTCTAGGCTTAGTAAAAGGTGGAGGCGAGCGCATGCTCAATCCTAAGCTCAGCCCTTGTCTTCATCGAAGGTTTTAGAGTCATCTATTGGGAGGTCAAGTGAGGTTTGGGTTATAGTCCAGTCACAGAGTATGGACCATGCTATTTGTTTTGATTGTGGTCATTTAGGCCATGTTAGACGTTTGTGCCCTATGTGTGTGAATTTTTCGGGTGTTTCAAAACCTAGTCAGACTCAGTCTCATCAGTCCAGTCGGGGTTGGTATCAGTACCAAACCCGAGCAGGCCAGGCTTCGAGAGCCTCGTGAGGGTTGACTTTTTAACTGGCACAGTAGTATTACCCTTGAGAAGGGCTTTTGTATTAGAAACTAGTGTTATAATATCAAAAAAAAAAAATATGTTGTTGGCCGATATACGGTTGGATCTAAGACATGATAACTATGTGTTATATATATATATATACATTGTTGTTTGTTTACCCTCATGTATTGGTGGCCCGAATTAGATTTTGAACCCTTGTTATGTATGTAATGAGAAGTTGTTAATGGAATTAATGATCCTAGTGTTGTTATATATCTGTTATTAATTTAATAGATGGTTATGTGATGGCTTGTGAACCTTGTTCTATTTGGAAATCGTTGATTGAGAACGGGAAATTCGTGCGCATTATGATTGCTGAGGTGGTATCATATGACTTGAATGTGTTGAGTCTCAGGGAATATGAGACTTTAGAGTCTTGTGAAATTTGCGAGGTTACGTGAGAAGGTTTTGATGGAGTATGAGAATTGTATCTCGGGATAGTAAGAATTGTGATTGTGTATGTTGTTTAGTGGGTTGGTTTAGTTGATTAGTGAGTTCATTTGTGATCCTACTGATCCTGATAGGGGTGGTTTTACATGGTGATTTGTTATAAGTGGATGAAATGGGTTTGTGGTATTCAAGTTTAGAGTGGTTTTATTAGAAATTGTATGGAGTTTATGAGTGTGGGGAGAATTTAAAGGTTAGATGCTAGAAGTATTCTTTGGAAGGAAGAATAGTTTAAGTTCTCGGTTAACGAGTATAGCATTGGTGAATATTGTTTTGTGTGTCAGGGATTATGTGACTGCTGTTGACCTTATCTATATTGTGTTTGAGATGCAAGGATGTGTTTGCCATATAGGCATGGAAGTGGTGATTTCCTTGGGAACAATAGTACTATGGTCTAATCTTGAGAAATCTGGGGTGATTCAAGGAATATGAGGGATTGTGTGTGGAACTTCATTTAGAGTAAAGGGTGTTGGGTGGCATGTTGGTGTTTGGTAGCAAGTATAGAGTTTTAACGAGTCGGTTAGTCGGTTAGTTGATATTAGGGTTTGGTTGGCAAGTAGTCACCTTGGGAATAACTTGGACTTGTGTATAAGGGTCAAAAGATCTTGGATGCCTTAGAATGGTTTTGCGAGCATTGGGCCTTGGGTATGTGATTAAGAATCTTGTGTGAAGCTCATTTTGAGTTAGAGGAAAATTTCTGAGTTGGAGTAACGTATTGGGAACTTTTGTTTTACGTGTGCTTTATTATGTTGATAGCACCGTTGTTATTTCTATTAATTATTATTATAGAAGAGTTACATAAATGTTTGTTATGGCATCACTATAAGACTGATAGGTGTTGTTGGGTAATGGTGGAGGTTCACCGATTATTTTGTTAAAATGGATTTGGAAAATGAAATTTTCTTTGTGGTATGGCCTCGGATGTCTTGTTACAAGGAAATGTTATAGATTTAATTTAAATGAGTAATGAGGAATTTCAATGAGTAGTTTTTGTGCAACTAAATTGTGGATGATTCTGTGTTATGAGTAACACCTTGTTTTTAAAAAATGTTTACACAACTCTTGAGTTCTATGTGGAGAAGACGGAAAATATATTTTAGCTCCTTTTAAGAAATGTTTTATATGCAAGAGATTGATTTTCAAAGAGTTGAGAAAAGGAAGAAATTTCCCTTATAACAAAGTTGTGTTATTATTTTGATGATTGGGTTGTGAAGTGACTAGCTTGAGTTGTTAGTCGCGTGTTTACGTGTTTTGTTTTGAGGGGGGTTTGGCGTTGTTGGGGCTTATTATGCCAGAGCGTTGTCTTTTGAGCTATGTTTTCGTGGTAAGCCCGTTTCTTTTGTGAGAGTTGACCGAGAGTTATGTTGTGAGGATTTCCCTTCTGCGTTTAAGTGTTGAATACTCGGTAGTGTTTGTGCGTGTTGTAGTGGTTGAGACGTGGTTGATGTCCTTGGGTTACGCATTGTTGTTGTTCGTGTCTTAGAGGCCCAATGAGTAGTGTGAGTTGGGGAGGCATCCATGATCTCTTCCTTGAGTTTTGTTGATCGGGTGTCTTTGGGGCCCCGAGGTGTTGAATCGGGATCCGTGAATTTATCCCAAGTATGGATCTAGTCTTGAGTTAGGGGTAATGCTTCCGGTTGTGATTGAGTTGTATTTTGTTTCAACCTTATCTTTAATTTTGGAGACGAAATTTCCTAAGTTTTTCTTTTTCTTCATCGCTCGAGCGACGGGTTGTTCACTTAAACGGTCTTGCGGGTCATCCAGTACTTTTGATTGCAAGCTTAAGATTCTGAGAGTTAGCATTGTTCACTCGAGCACA